TATGCAGACGAGGCTCGGCGGATAGCTCGAGTTTGAGACCCCTGATCTTAGATAAAAAATGGACTATAATTTAGTTTTGGTAAATTGTTTGTTCAAGTGTTAACCAGAACGAGAAACTTTGAAAAACCTTCCCCGCTACATTTGTGAACGGAGTCTCTTTTCCAGGCAATGAATCGTTTGTCCTCGGCTTTCCTGGGTCCCAGTTCGTCAAGCGGTAAATTCGCTCTATTTCCGGGGATTTCCTCCTAGGCTTACAGTCTGCTTCATTTATTTCCCCTTTTTTGCGACTCTCCCTCCCCGTTCCGTTCCACCCTAATAAAACTACTGATAGTGCGGTGGGGCGGCGTGGTGGAGCCCGTACCGCACCCCGCCCCGTACCCTTCTCCAGTTCCTCGGCCTCGCCGTTACGCCGGTCCGGTCCATGGGGGCCGCGGCCTGGGTGGACGGCGCGCCACACGCGGGGTAAGGGGAGGAAGGTGCCCTCTGGGGCCCCGGGAGGCCGCTGCATCTGCCGCATCATTGCGCTCCACGCGCGCTCGCCTCGCATTGCAGATTATTGGGCGAATGTGTCCGGGGGACGGTGGCGATATATGGCGCACGGGCTGCAGATCGCGGCGAGCGACCTCCACGCCCCGCCACGCCCCGCCGCTCGCTCACCCGCCACGCCGCGCCCTTGCCGCACGCGCTCGTGACCCAGGGGCTCCTCTTTTATGGCCCCGGGGCCCCGGGGGCCGCGGTGGCCAGGGCGGGGCGGCGCCTCTCTGGGCGCGCCGGCCGCGAGGCCATGCAGGCCGCGACGCTCTAGGCCACGCCACCCCAGGGGCCCCCGGCCTTATGGGCCGACGGGAGAGTGGGGATAAAAGTGCGAGAAAAACATAGTGCCATTTGGAGGGGGTGGGGGGGGGGTGAATCCTTTGTATCTCTTTGCCATCTCTCTCGCTCCTCCCCCTCCCCCTACTTGTCTCTCTCTGGCACTCTGCAGAGACCTAACTATCTTTGTCGCACTCTCCCCAGCACTGTGCGCCTCTGTACGCAGCAGGCGGGCGGGCGCTGCCTCGGGTGCTGCCGGGCGGGGCGCGTGAAGGACAGTCGCGTCGTGATAACCGAGGACGGGGCCGCGGCGGTGGCGGTGGGGGTGCGGGGACGGGCCCCGCGCGGTGATGTCCACGAGCCCCCCGGGGGCACCACTGCACGGACCCCCACGACAACGGGGAAAGTGGGGGCGGGGGGG